TGTCTGTTTTGACCACTGTTATATCTGCTGCCAGTAGCTTCTGTATATCTAGAAAGAGGGTTTGCAGACCCTGCTTGGTTGCTAAGTTACTGTTCAGGGAGTCAAGGTGTGTGTTAACTGCAATATCCAGCTCTCGAGTAGGCTGTGTCCCATTACTTTCCAGCTGATCCGAGGGAGCCGATATAAATCCGCATTCTACCCGGCTGCCATGTCCCGAGTGTCTGGGACGTCTCCGTGTGAGGGCTTCTGTTGTTTACGCCTCGTGTCCGATGGTGAGGCTGTGGGTCTCTGCGGGGGCTGTGTTGTTGCGGCACTGGTAGTGATCCGTCGAGAAACAGGTCCCAGCTAGGAAAGGCCGGTGCTTTTCTGGCCCCAAACTTGCGCTCCAGTTTAGCCGTCTTCGGTGGCTGAAAAAAGGGCATCAATGGATGCAGGAACTACCAGGGTTGGATGGCCCTTGATCTGCCTGATTTGCCATGGATTAATTTGAGGCTGCACGGAGCCTAGAGAGATGGCATCCACTCAACTTTGCTGGCAAGCTTTGCCCCCTAAATATAGATTTTTGTTTTACTACACCCCCTGTTTTTTTCACTTTTAGTTACTTTTAATAACTTGATCTGTGAAACAAATTGTGGGGAAATGCTATTCTAGTGGAGAGATTCTGCTCATCAGTGTACTGCAAAATATATACATAATATTATAATATTTATATATCTAGCAGTACAACGATTGGTCCAATTCCATGGTTTTTTTTAAATTTGTTCTCAAGTTTCGGTCCCTGAATCAAAATTTGGGTATCCTGAAATTTTTTATCTATAGGTAAAAATTCACCAGAACCAAATTTTCTCACTGTGCACAAGTCTAATGCATGCATACATTCATACACACACAAACATGCTCACATACACGCATACACACACATGCTTAAAGGACCACTATAGTGCCAGGAAAACATACTCGTTTTCCTGGCACTATAGTGCCCTGAGGGTGCCCCCTCCCGCCCGGCTCTGGAAAGGGGAAAGGGGTTAAAACTTACCTTTTTCCAGCGCTAGGCGGGGAGCTCTCCTCCTCCGATCCTCCTCTTCTCCTCCCCGTCGGCTGAATGCACACGCACGGCAAGAGCTGCGCGCGCATTCAGCCGGTCACATAGGAAAGCATTCATAATGCTTTCCTATGGACGCTGGCGTGCTCTCACTGTGAAAATCACAGTGAGAAGCACGCAAGCGCCTCTAGTGGCTGTCAATGAGACAGACACTAGAGGAAATAGGGGAAGGCTTAACCCATTCACAAACATAGCAGTTTCTCATAAACTGCTATGTTTATGAAAAAATGGGTTAACCCTAGAAGGACCTGGCACCCAGACCACATCATTAAGCTGAAGTGGTCTGGGTGCCTAGAGTGGTCCTTTAATTTTCATTTTATTTTCTTATTATGTGGTGGGAGGGATCATAGTGAGGTTCATACTTTGAAAGGGCTCAAGCATCAGTACAGGGCACACAAGACAGCTGGAAAATTCCACACATCCCTCAACAGTCCCAATTTCATCCGGACAGTACTGACTTTGGGGTCTTGTCGTGCCATCCCAACTTCAGCAGTACTCTCTGCAAAGTCTTGTAGATTAAGGGCTTACCAGACAGGCCCTTTTAATACCCCTTTCCTTTGCAGACCCTCCTATTATGGCATCTCCAGCGATGCGGTCCTGTCACTGGCGACTGCCCTGTTTAAGGTCCGTCCACCCACCCGTCCAGATCCCATACCTCCCAATGTTGGGAGGTATGACCCCATATGGCACATTTTTTTAATGTGAGATTGTGAGAAAAAGCACAACCTCTTTTTTAGTCTAAAATTTGAGTTGTGCGACCGTTCAACATTAAATAATTTAAATATTCGGGCACTAAAAATTAAATGAATATATTGGGAGCACTGAGTAATAAATATAGTATTATATCTGCCAATTTGTCTAAAACTCATTAGGCTTATTGAAATGAGAGGCAGTCTGACGCTGGTCAGCGTTGGGAAACCGTCAATTTATGGTATATTAGAACAAGGGAGGACAGTTACTTTAAGATCTTGAAATGCGATTTTTATGGATTATCTAAGGATGAAACTGCGAGAGTAAAATGCAAATCTACATCTTAATTCTTACAATTGACCTTAAATAGGGCTTAAATAGGGCTGTCATTTTTCTAAAGTAGCAAAATAAAAAAAAAGCAAAAATAAATGTAATATAAAAGAATCCTGCCTTACTGTTAAAATATAAACATGTCACTTCTGCAAAGGAAGTAGCAAATTCAAGATTTACTAATTAATGCAAAGAATACCTCTACTACTGCTATGGGGATAAAAGAAGAGAAAGTCATGGTGTGGCTTCCATCCTCCCCTGACCTCAATCCTATTGAGAACCTTTGGAGCATCCACAAGCAAAAGATCCATAAGGATGGGAGGCAGTTTACATCTAAACATCAGCTCTGGGAGGCTGTTCTGACATCTTGCAAACAAATTCAAGCAAAAACTGTCCAAAAACTCACAAGTTCAATGGATGCAAGACTTGTGAAGCTGCTATCAAATAACGGGTCTTATGTTAAAATGTAACGTGACCTGTTAAAATGTTTAAAAAGTTAAAACGTTGTTATAAGTTTGATTGAAATAGCTTTTGATTTCAGTAAATATGCTGCAAACACAACAAATGACAATTTTCAGTTTTTTACAATGTATAAAGTGTTTTGAAACTTACTGTGCATAATAATTTGGAACAGTGCATTGTAAGTTTTTTATTGTTATAAAAAATACTGTTATCATTCGGAGGTTTGTTCAATAAAATTTGAATTGTACTCTTAATAGTTGATAACATGAGAATTATGCTGACTGTTATTTACATCAATTATTTAGGTAAATGAGAAAAATATAATTTGCATAATAATTTGGAACACTATACACTATACACTATGTACTATACACTAAACACTGTACACTATACACTATGTACTAAACCCTTTGCACTATGTACTATACACTTAACACTATACACTATATATTATACACTATACACTATTTACTATGTATTATACACTATATACTATACACTAAACACTATCCACTATATACTATACACTATGTATCATACACTATATACTATTCACTATACACTATGTATTATACAATATGCACTGTGCACTATACACTATACACTAAACACTATACACTATATACTATACCAGGGGTAGGCAACCTATGGTACTAGTGCCATGCACGGCACTCGACGTGTCTTTGCACGGCACTCAAGGCTGCTGGAGCCAAACAAGCTCTGGCCTATCAGGAGTCCCAGTATCAGATATCTGCTAATGCGAAGAGATGGTGAAGGACAATCCTCAATTTATGCATTGCTGCATGTAGAGGAAGGGATCTCAGATCACTTCCTCCCAGCACTTGTGAATGGGAATCCACACTATAGTAGAGCAGCCTGCAGTTGCAGCTCCTGTCCTTGACCTGTACCTGGCCAGCTTGGTCCCCACTGGAACCCAGGGAAGCCACCCACAGTGCTAGAAATGCAGAATAACCCTCCCCTTATACAAATAATATGAACCGCTCACTCGCAAACATACACACAATCCGCACAAACGTAACCCGCTAACAATCCACATACATGCACACAACCCCACATGCAGCATCTCACGTGCAATACCCCAAACAGCCCACACACACTACCAAACACACAATGTGACATCCATCCACACACACAATTCCACAAGCAGCCCTCATACACAGCCCACATTCATATCTATCATACACAATACCATAAACTACTCATGAACATATACAATATAATAGCTCATATACGCACAAATACAATGATGTAAAGCAACTGCAGTAAAAATAACAAGCAGAATACGACAGCATACACACCTCAATTTAAAAAAATAGGACCGGCACGCTACGGGACATCACAATCCTATATCGGCACAGTGCTGCTAAAAGGTTGCCTACCCCTGATCTATACACTATGTATTATACACTATATACTATACACTATGTATTATACACTATGCACTGTGCACTATACACTATGGACTATACACCATGTATTATACACTATGTACTATGTACTACACTCTGTATGCTATACACTATGTATTATACACTATGTATTATACACTATGCACTATGTACTATACACTATGTATTATACACTATGTATTATACACTATGTATTATACACTATACACTATATATTATACACTATACACTGCACGATATACTATACACTATGTGCTATACACTACGTATTATACACTATACACTATGCACTATACACTATACACTATGTACTATGCACCATGTATTATACACTAAGTACTGTACACTAGGTACTATACACTATACATTATACACTGTGTACTATACACTATACGTTATACACTATGTACTATACACTATACACTATACTTTATACACTGTGTACTATACACTATACATTATACACTATGTACTATACACTATGTACTATACACTAAGTACTGTATACTAGGTACTATACACTATACATTATACACTACGTACTATCCACTATACACTATACACTATGTACTATACACTATACACTATACACTATGCACTATACACTAAGTACTGTACACTAGGTACTATACACTATACATTATACACTATGTACTATACACTAAGTACTGTACACTAGGTACTATACACTATACATTATACACTATGTACTATACACTACGTACTATACACGATACACTATCTATTATACACTATGCACTATACACTATGTACTATACACTATACACTATACACTATGCACTAAGTACTGTACACTAGGTACTATACACTATACATTATACACTATGTACTATACACTACGTACTATACACGATACACTATCTATTATACACTATGCACTATACACTATGCACTATACACTATGTACTATACACTATGCACTATGTGCTATACACCAGGTATTATACACTATACACTATGTATTATACACTATGTACTATACTCTATGCCCTATGCACTATACAATATAGATATACACTATGTACTACACACTATACACTATGTATTATACACTATGCAGTCTTGCACATTATAGATTGTTTGCCAGGTCTACTGTGCCCAACAAGTCTGCAATTAGCTGAGCGTGCCAGAAGTAGGCCATAGCAGCCATGATTCCAAACGTTCAAAAAAAATGCTACTTTGGCAAAATTGAGCAAAATTCACAAAACGTTGATGCAAAAGTCACGGCCAAACACCTCCATATATTTCTAAACGAAAATTTTCAGACTTGGCATTAAAATGTGCATCTCAAGAACCTAAACCGTGAATGGCATGACCAAAATAATGTCAATTAACCTACGTTACTGTGCAGCCTACATCCTAAAGCAGGCCATTTCTTCTTCTGCTGTTAGTGAAGTGACAATTCGGCACTATAAGACCACTAACACATAGTTATAAGGGGTCAGGCAGTGCTTCGCTCACTGTGCTCTCCTCTGAGTGAAAATTAGGGGGGATTTTCAAGATGCTGAAGAGGGAGCTGGGAAAGCAATGCCTGATATAGCTCAGATTTGTCCTACTTGTCCTACTGTCTGTCACTAGTTAAATCAAACCCTGTGCCAGGCAGTTAGCAATTCTGGAAGATTAAACTTCTTGTTTGCATTCTAGTTGGGATTGTGGAATAGTCTGAGCACACTTAGTAAACGACAGGGATCCTCTTTAGGCAGCAATATCAGCTTGCAAATCCCTGTATAATACATATAACTAGATCTACCCATTGTACAGCGCTACAGAATCTGATGGCGCTATATAAATAATAAAATAATAATATATAATAATATGTAAGTGGATGATGTTTAATGTCTACATAAAGACATTATTATATCATTCTAGCGGTGGTTTTAGAAAACTGTATCACAACATTTCCCACAAATACCCACAATCAGAGTATTTTATAATTGTATTTTTTTTTTGTCACGTGTCATATGCATTTCTGTTTTTATGTTAATATTTAATGTCTTATCTTAGGTATTAAAGATTAAACACAGGCATCTGTATGTTTTCAGAATATTCATTTCTTAGGTTTTTTAATTATGGTCACTTTCAGCCACATGTCTGGCTGTGAATTATGTGAATTGCAGTGCCCTGTGCACCTTGCATAACTAACAAGCATAGTCCCCTACCCATACCCACAAGCATCCCCAGCATCAACATTTAAAACTATGCCATTGTGAATATGTGTTATAATGGCCTGTACTACTATACATGCAGAACCAATTCTAATGATGTACAACATTTTACACCTTAGTGATGGTGTTTCTAGTGGGTACTCTGTAGCAGCAAAATTTCAGCCAATTTGCCGTGGCATACGTCAAGCCATCTAAAAGTGTACTAAGAACACAATTGACACTTTTATAAATTAACCTGGTTAAACCCCCCCCACCCCAGGTTTTCAAGCAGACAACAGGTCCTGTTAGTTTATGGTTCGGTTAGCTTATTTGCACTGAACTCAAGATGCAGCAATTGCCCAGAGCACCTCCCTTGCAGAGACTTCTCATTGAGCTGCCTTGGGAAGTCTGTGATTGGACAGCCACAGAAAGTCTGGGCAGGGTTAGAAAGGGAGGGCTTGCAAATGCTGCAGATAAGAGATCAGCAGGTATTGCAAGCTGTTTTTATCTATAACTTGAATGAAAAAATGCAGAATTAAATGCATGCATGTTTTCATTTAGGATATATCTACTAAACAATTTTAGCAATTTTCATTTATTTTGTATTTGGACAGTGGAGTGTCCATTTCAGCATTAAAACTGTGATTCCCTTCTGACATTTACTTAAAACTAATAAGTCAATCTGGTGACGTGCGACATTTATTTGGTGATTTGATAACATGTTTCATTTACAAGTAAAGGCAATATAAAAAAAAGTTGGAGATTTTCTTCTCATTAAAGTGTGCCTTTGTCCAAAAAAGTCTGGGCCGCACAGTTCTATAAAATAATATAGGAAACTTACTGGGATGAAGACTATCCTACATCATAAATCTTAGCAGAACCTTTCTACTATAAGTTGATATCAAAGATTTCACAATTTTTCTATTATCCCTCTTTTCTTTTTATTTATCTCGTTGGTCTCATGATCTTCATCTGGTATTAAGAAGCTATCTAAATAAGTCATTTTCAGATGGGTTTTAGTGTTATTTACAATGGCTGTGATCATTAAAAAAATGCCACAAACAAAATAAAAACAACAATTTAGGGAGCAGGGATTTCTCGAACATGGTTCAGGCTCCGTCAACTGCAAGCATTGAACTAAACCATTACTCTAGAGCCTCATAATGCAAATTTATTTTTTTCACTTGCCTTCTGCCTGCGGTAACTCATTTTTTTTTAATTACTTTTATCAAAAACATTGGTCAAAACCTTGATTTACAATGAGGGATTTCCCATTTTGAACCCAGAGCAAAATACACAGCCCGAGGAAGTTATATTAAGCCGTGTGTAGGTGAAAGGACCGACCACCAGTCCATGTCTGACTGGAGTATGTAATTTTCTGTTAGGATGGCTTAATGCAGCCGTATTCGTTCAATTCCCAGCAGGTCACTACTTGCTGTTGTCCTATTTCACCCTATCAATGAGTAGGCTAATTCATTTTTTTCTTTTCAGATCCACTGGGAGTCGAGATGATGATGTTATCCACTTGACCTCGTGTGTCCCTTAGGAAATAGAAAAGGAAGCGAGGGGGTGATGTGGAGCGAATAAAGGAGGGGGGAGGGGGTGAGAGTCATGAATAAAAAAAGACTCCTGCTTACAGAACTGATTTTCACAATAATGGCAAAACATATGTTTGCATTTTTAAACCTGCGGGAGTGTGTGCGTGCGTCTGTGTGAGTGCATGTGTGTGGTGTCGGGGAGAAATTGCATTGTGGGTAGGGAAAAGATGGCAAGCCACACGCCAGGTGTTTGCTGTCAAACAGAACAAAACAGCTGAAGTCAGCACAATTTAATGAATAATCTATCTACGGCCTATTGAGAGCTATCATTCATCGCTTTGATTCTTTACTTATGCCTCTGTTAATGTTTATTTGAGAGTGAATGCTACAGCCATTTAGAGGCTTGATAAGATACTTGTATGAATATAAATATATATAATTTAACATGTTTTCATCATTATGAGCAAAAGCTATGGCTGATTTTATATTATTATATATTTACATATATGTGTTGGGGGGGTTAAGAATATGTAATTAAACTTTTTTGTGTGTCTACTTTTCTAGTATTTTTGTGCTTATAATATATTGGGAAAGTTAGTCCAATTTTTGATAAAGTTTTTTTTTCTAAGCATCTTGAAATGTTTTGTGTATTTATGTATGTTTTAAATTTTTTTTTTGCTTTTTTTTTGCAGGAAAGTACATCATCTTTCAGATTATCAGTGCTGCGGAGCGCAATTCTCTAAAGGACATAAAAATAAACACGCAAATGCTGATTTCGCGCTTGGATGTAAACAGCTACCCTCAAGTGTTGTTCGCTTAGCGTTATCAATTTATTTATTTTATTTATTTATTTATTTTACTTATAGTTATTTATTCACTTGAAAAAAAAAAACTAGCCTGAAGGTTAAGCTCTCTCTAATAAAAAAAAATCTAAATAATAGGAATCTGAAGTTGGTATAAAATGCTTATTATTTAACAAAAAAAAGCTTAAAAGCGATATAAATGAGGCTTGGAATGTTTGGTAGCCTGGTTTGGTATCCAGCTGTCTATCTTAGAAAGAGCCTCATATAATTCATTTCCTTCTTGCACAGGTTTAAACATAGAGACTTTGCAGTTTGTGAAGTGAAAATTGTTTCAGATCCCATGATAGTATTGTATAAGTACTCATACTAATATTAACTGTAATAACAAATTTCCCTGGGGTGCCAAGACAAGAGTAGACAAGTTTACTGTGTTAAATCTGGAGCTATTTCAGTTCAAAACAAAAACCCAAGGCTGTTCGTGGAGAGCCTATGTAGGTCTTTCTAGCGGGGAGATGTCAAGGAGCACAAAATGCGCCGTAATTTTAAAATATGCTCACTTTAAAAACACATAATTGATTAGACTATTGTCAGTGTAATGGTTTATTGCCTAGTGCGTACTATTAAATTCCAAATTAACCTTCTGAAAATAGACATTTTTAAAAGATATTTCCGCACAGCGATTTATTTAAAAACAGTGACATTTACATTTTTCTTACAAAACAAGACAGGTTTTAAAATTCCAAACTGATTCATGATGTGGAAAACTGGATTGAAATTATCTGTTTTAATTCAGATGATGCCGAAACATTGCAATTCACCAAATTGGGAATTGTTGGGAAAATGTCATTTTCACATTTTAGCAATAAATAGGCCATTTTCTTTAAGTCAGCTATATGTTAGATTTGGATATATTGACCTAAAAGTTCACTTCGAATTCCCACCAATTCACACATAATGAATAGCGTTGTTGAGACTTGAAAAAAAAAAAAACTCTAAATGTAGGTTAAAATATCCAACTTACTACAATTAGATATTAAGGAAATAGGTCACTGTAGTGGCTATGGTGCCAGTCTTCGACTGTGAAGAAACAGAGAATAACTGTTTTTGAGCACTTTGATCTGGGTCCCTTAGTAGCCAGACGTGTGGCCTTCTGCTCAATCAATAGCAATACCCTCCATCTTTGGATGTAAGTCATTGGCTCTGGAGTGTCAGCTGATGCTGTCAGCCAATACATTGTCTTATTAGGGAAACAATGATAGGTATAACGGGACTTTAACTTGAATCATATCTATGAAGAGAGGCTGGACTAGGGGCACCCGGAGGGCAGGGGTAAGTCGTTAAGTAATTATTATTAAAAACAGTCTTGTTTTTAATTCTTGACCCTTACAGGAATTATATAGTGCAGAAAACGCTGTTTAGGTCCACCCCCACCCCACCCCCCTACCTCCATGGAGACAAGGCCGCTGTCGCCGCAGATGGCCCCTCCTGGCTCCACCTTCATGGCTGAGATCAGTCATGATGATCTCAGCCACTCCAATGCTTTCCCATAGGCAGAATGCCTCACTGCACTCTATGGGGAACGTTCAGCAGCTCCACGCAGAGCGTGGGGACGCTGAATTTAGATGCTGCATACCGTGCAGTACTGACACAGGAAGCACCTCCACAGTTCCAGTGTTAAGTCCAGTGGCCGTATGAGTGACTGCCACTAGAGGTGTTACTAGCCAGCAATGTAAAAACTGCCTTCTCTGAAAAGGTAGTGTTCACATGGAAATGCATGCAGGGACATGCAACAGACACCATAACAAATACATTAAGCTGTAGTGACCCTGGTGACTATAGTGTCCCTTTAAACAGGCTGTGGTAGTTATGAGGCTTCAATGCCCCTTTAACTTTTGGATTATAATTTTCATTAATTTCATAAATCAATAATTTGCATAAAGAAAATGTCTTATACACGTAATCATGACTAGAGGCAAATAGTCACTTTATCTGATGACAGTCCTGGCAATTTATCGGTCTTGAAATGGTCAATAGATGTGTTCTCTCTTCTTCATTATCAGTGTTTTTGGATGCTTACAGTAACACCTTGCCTTTTAAGGGGACCTCGTATAATCCAGCTTTGCGTGATGTAACTGGAAAATCATGACTGTCCCTTAGATCTTTTCTTATTCGACATTTTCTGAAGAATGTTAAAAAGACAGCAGTTTGTTTGTAAGTTGCAACTGTGGCACTCTATGTACCTTGCATTAAGGCACATCTTCCTTGATACTTGCACCGGTTTGTAATATACATGTTTAACTCTTTGAATGCCACAATACACGACTTTTGTTGATGATGATTATCTAAGACCCTTTTGATGGTAAATTGCACAATTATATCTGTGTATCTGGCTGTATTATTCTAATTTAATGGTCATTTGTAGGATCATAAATCATAAATTATTTCTATTAAATAGTTCTGATCAATTTCGAACTAATCTCCAGTTAATTCGTATAAGTATGGTTCCTAGGTACAAACGTCGGTGCATTGTGCAAATATAAAAATGTTTCCTTATCTGGTTCTGGACTTCACCACCATATAAACATCTTAAGATGATAGTTAAGGTCCCTGTGAAGGATTCATAGGGGATATCTACACATTCTGAAATGGACTTTTCATAATAATGCATCATTATAATATAGTTTAAAATATATGGCCATATATATATGTTCAACTCTCTAGTTTGTGTATAATTAAATCCAGCTTGTGTGTTAGCAGCGGGCCCCTTATATTCCATCTCTAATGGCCCCTAAAATCCTAGAATTGTATGTACACGTGCCAAAAAACAAGCCTGTTGGCTGTAGTGAATACCCAGATTAGAAACCATAATATAACGCTACGAAAAAAGATTCAGCTGAAGCACATTCTGCGGCTAATTCACCTCTCAATGAATAGAGCAATGGGGAGCTATGAGAAAGGTTTTATAGGTGATAGAATCCAGTTCTTGGTATTGGAGTCTATATTCATAAATGGAATCTTGATAAGAATCCAGGATCCTTACCCAAGCCATGCAAATAGTGATTTATTCAACCCTGAAGAGTCAATCTATTCCCTCCTTCCCCAGCCAATATGGCCCCCTCCAAGCCTCCTAAACAGACCGCAGAGAATGAGTTGCTTTAATTGATATATAATAACATAATTTATATGTTGGCACTTGGAACAGAGGAAGCAGCACAGGCTGAATTTGCACAGTTTTAGTAAATCTAACAGGGTAATTTACTAATGTGAGAATTCAAAATTAATTTAAAATTTTAGACCTAAGTAGACAAATTGGAAGCAGTTCTGGTTTTGAGAATTTTTCATGTTCAAATATTTTGACCATAAATCTGAAGTTCACTTGGAATTCACATTTTGGCAAATAACTCTTTGTGCTTTATTTATCGATTGTCCAGAATTCTCATTTTTATGAATCATTAGCAGTCATTTTCATGGCTAAGTCTGGTATTAACTCTCTCAAGATCACAGCGTGTGCTTCAGATTCTATTAGATTTACCGAGATTTTATGAGACTGAGTTAGGATTATTTAGAGTACATTCACTGAATTAAACAATTTAATTATTAATTAAAGAATTTATTATATCATTTATTTTAGCTTAAAATGTACAGGTTAATTGCTGTCCACTTCCAATTAAGTGAATAGACTTATTGTTTTATTAAAAATGAAAATAAAATCAGAATTTTGACATTCATATATAACGAATCAAAGAGCAAAAAGATTAAGCACAATAAAATGACGCATAAATGAAGTCTATATAGAGAGCTAAATCCCTTCAAATGTGTCCAATTTAGGGGTTTAACTTTGTAGCGACTTGTTTCCAAATATAAATGAAATCCTTACGTTCCAAACACCACAGACATAAGATTGTAATGTATTATAATAGTTAACGAATATTAATTTTCCGCATGATATCTTATTTTTACATATACCGTTTAATAATATATATCATCAGAAACACAAATGATCAAATATAGGCATAGTTGAATTGTCTGACATTAATTAAAGCTCTTAAAGAACATATTTAATTGAATATAAATTAACACGCATTCAGATGTATTCACTGAAATAGGAAATGGGAAGAAACTGGAAAATTGTACATTTTAGTCGAAATACCCAAACTGGAAAAAAGGGGCGTTCCAACTCATCCATTGGTTTTATATTTACAGATCTACTGGCAATTCTTCACAATTCCTGATTGACTGATTGAGCCCCATTTGTTTTTCTATTTCTCTCTAGTTAAGTTTGTGTTTTGTATGTTTTTCTTTTTCATTTGTTGTGATAGATTAGCTCCTAATTACTACTGTTTAATAAACTACAGTTAAATTAACAACTCAATCAGCCGGGTACCAACATCTGTTGTATGTTAAATTGCTCACATGTTGTTGAGCACCTTAACTGCTCATGCTGAAAGCTCTAGTTGACAGATAACTTGCTCTCTGACTACGAATGATAGAGTGGGTGTCATACCTAGTTGGAGAGTTAAGAGCTATTGTGTAAGTATATGTGCTCCTGAATTTGTGGGAGGGGGGAATAAGAAAAGAGACAAGTGTGCCTTTTGGAAACGTAAGGTTGCCAAGGGTCATGCACACTTGCAAAGAAAAGACAAAAATATATGCATATGTTGAATTACCATTAACTGAAAAGAAATACAGTAATAATTAATTTATTACAAGTCTTGCCATTCTGTTTTCAAACAGCAGTTATATGTGCAAATGTAGAAGTGTGTTAGGATTTTTATATAACAGTAAATGATCATTGATTACATATCGTAGCAACTTTCCCCGGCAGGATGTTTTATAAAGTTTGTTAAATATATATATATATATATATTAAAAATAAATGAATAATAATTTCTGTAATATTTCTTCTATATACAGATCCTGTGTTGAGTTGTTTTGCATCAATACAGATAATTAGTTGTCACTGAGTATTCACAGATAGAACAATATATAATTACTCAGCCATACAGGTACAAGAAGTCCTCTCAGTCCGATTAAAATCTAGCATTTATAGCATCTTCAGACAAAGTAGTAACAAGTTGGTGTGAGTTTCCAATTTAAAGGAGTCAAAAGGTAGCTGAGGAAATTAGATGTTTACAGAAATAAGCGTCACCTAAGAGGTTTATCATGATGTTGGGAGGAGGGCTTATACTTTGCAGCCATGCAATAAAGGCTCTGTTATGCTTTGGGATAGTGTTTTGATAGCTTATTTAGTTTATTTACTTAATACTATAGTTCATGTAGCTACCTTAAGGTGATACGAATTTAAGTGTAGGGCTATTTTATGTGTTTTTCACTCATTTTGCATTTCACAGCCATTTTACAATATAGCTACTTACCCCATGTGGGCTCTATTAAGGATTTGTTAGTTTGTAGGGTTTCATAAGAAAACCCCCTTCTGTCTCATTCGAGATTTTGAGCTGAATGCAGTGAAGTGAATTGCTAGCATAGGGTTCACCAACGAAATTAGTTTGAATTTGGCAGGTGAGCTTGCATTCCATGGTGATGCAATGGTGCAACAAACATCAGTTTCTTAAAAGTCCACTCTGTCCTCATAATAAACTCATCACAATGAAGTTCTTATGGTGTCTGGAGTTCCCGGGTGTCCTCTTCTCTTATGGAGGAAAAGTGTAACACCAAATGTATGTCCCCAAGCACCTGTCTTTAGCCTTCAGTCACTGTGGTAAATGGGAAACATTGGCTAGACATCCGGTAATTGATTGAGAGCATCAGCTAACACGCTTAGTCTATCACTGACTGCCTGTTACGACTACAGTATGTACTCCTTGGCAAAAGAGAAGATTTGTCTAGGTAGGGTAAAGACGAGAATGTAGAGTAGGAAAGTAGGAAATGAAGGGAGAGAAACATGGATAGGGTGATATCTAAACAGTTGTATAAAGACCGTTATATCACGTTGAACCCTCTGGTAGACAATTTCTTAGATAGAGTGTTGTTTAAAGAACCAACAAATTCCAATGTTCACAAATACAGTGCGTTCACTATTCAGTAAATTGCAGTGAATTGACAAGACATCGACAAGCATCCCTACATTGTTTTGACCTAAATGTTGCTACATCGTGAGGGGTTTACCCTCAAGCATTACCCCTGGTTTAGTGGAAGACTTGATATTTTGGTGCAATGTAAAAGCACAATGTTACTGCTCTGGAATATCAAGCAGGAATTGACAAACCATGATATTAAGTATTGCTCGTTTTTAATTTTTAAAACAATCAAAGATAATTCCAAAGCTTGAGAAACATCTTGAATTTTTCACCAATGTAACAGACTGCATG